CCCGAAGAAAACATGGCGGACATGTGCAAGTGCACTTGCCCAAGATCGAGTGGGCTGGAGGACAGCAGGAAGGGGATTGTAGTGTGACACAGACCCTTAGGAGGGCGCTCACCCCTTTCTCTCCCTCTCCCCTTCCTCCACTTTCATGTGCACATGCACACTATTTAAATTTTGTTATTTTAAAATAGTAAAGCAATAGGAACAACATAAATCAAAACCCTGGGAGGAGAATGGAGGAGAAGGGATTGAAGCATGGCCATCAAGACATCTGTGTTGGGACCAGCAGTTGGTGTAATGACTCTCACTGGACTCCCATGTAGTCGACCATGGTTCAAGTCCCGGACCCGGTGGCTTAAACTCACGCCGGGCGCATGTGCGTGTGTGCCCAAGATCCCGAGAGGAGAATGGAGGAGAAGGGATTGCGGCATGGACATCCCCTCTGCGGGGGTGATTTCTCGCTTTCTGTCTCTCTGTGTCTCTCTGTCTTTCTGGCACATGTGCACGCCCTATAGCAAAAACCTCTCTAAAAAAAAAGACATCTGTGTCACATGTCCTAGAGTATTTTGTAGCTCCACCTCCAGGGGCACTTGGGAATCAGCAGGTCGTGGAACAAGCCCTAAAGAGGATTCCTTTCCTTGAGGTTGTCTTTGTTTCATTGTGGAGTGCTTTGTCTTCATCCCGCAATGTGACTTGCTGTCAGCCTCTCTCTGACACACGATGTGTGGTTCTTAGTTTTGAAAGAAATAGAGGAGAAAAATGGTGTTAGCATTATACTTGCAAAGATAAGGCAGTTCTGGGCTGGCTCTATAGCCTGTGGATCCCACCAGACAGACAGAGAGAGACAGAGAGACAGAAAGCAAGAAATCACCCTCCCAGGAGGGATGGCCACGCCACAATCCCTTCTCCTCCATTCTCTCGGGATCTTGGGCACGCACGTACACGCTCCCGGCATGAGTTTTAAGCCACCAGGTCCGGGATGCGAACTGCGGTCGACTACATGGGAGTCCAGCGACATAGCCATTACACTAACTGCTGGTCCCAGTTTCGGAACTTTTTTGATTAGTACATGTAGTCTGAATTGTCTAAAGTAATCAGAGTTACTGTTACCTTCCAGAGACGTCTACTTCCCTGTGATATACTCACGCTGGTCTTGACCACACGATGGTAAACTGAGCATTCTGTGACCTCTCTTTGGGAAGACGGGCAGTGACCTTACATGCCTTACATTACTTTATTTATTTATTTATTTATTGCTCGAGACCATGTGCAGGAGTGTTGCATGCAGCATGACCAAAACCCAGGACCCATGGAAACACAAGCAAGATAAAACACACAAGTCCATCGATGATCTTTGACGGGGAGGCCGGGGAGCTCACAGTCTCAGAAGAGTGTGGCCCAGATTGGCTGATTCTCTGTTTTCTGAGCAAAGAGAGGCAGGAAGCATTTGCTTTAGTCCTTGTGGCTGTTGAGACAGCAGTAGGACTGCGACACATGTTTAGGTGGAACTCTTTTTTTTTTTTTTTTTGGAGAGGTTTTTGCTATAGGGCACATGCGTTCTCCAGAAAGACAGAGAGATAGAAAGTGAGAAATCACCCCCCAGGGTATTGGCCACGCCCTTCTCCTCCATTCTCCTCTCGGGATCTTGAGCATGCACACACATGTTCCTGGCGTGAGTTGAAGCCACCGGGTCTGGGACTCGAACCACAGTCGACTACATGAGAGTCCAGTGACATAGCCATTATGCTAACTGCTGGTCCCCAGGTGGAACTCTTGATCTGGCCAATGTGGTCCCGTGTTCTTGTTTTCAGGACAGAGTGAGCACAGAGTTCTGTGTTTTCTAAGTGTGATATGTACCTGTTAACCATCTCAAGGTCCGACTGCTCTGCAACACAGGAGAGAGAAAGAGAATTCCTCAATAGGGCGTAGTCATGGCAATTCGCTTCCCCCATCTCTCCATTCTGCCAGGACTGGACAGACACATGCACAGTGTGTTTTTCTTTTCTTTTCTTCTTCTTTTTTATTGAGAGGTTTTTGCTATAGGGCGCATGGTCTCATCAGAAAGAAAAAGAGAGACAGAAAGCAAGGAATTGTCCACCAGGGGGATGGCCACAACATAATCCCTTCTCCATTCTCCTCTCGGGATCTTGGGCACGCACACACACGCGCCCGACGTGAGTTTAAGCCACCGGGGTCTGCAACTCGAACCACAGTCAACTATGTGGGAATCTAGCAACATGGCCATTATGCCACCTGCTGGTCCCCACAGTGTGGTTTTCAAGCCACAGAGACTTGAACTGCAGCCGGCCATGTGGGATCTGGTTTCCAATGCACAGCACTCAACTGATCCACTGCACTATGGGGCTGGCCCCATGCTTTATTACTTTCAACTGAGTATCAGAAAGGCGTGTCAGGGGACTAGCAGTTAGCATAATGGCTATGTCGCTGGACTCCCACGTAGTCGACCGCGGTTCGTGTCCCGGACCCGGTGGCTTAAAACTCACGCCGGG